CTGCTTTAGACAAATGGAGTGAAATTTCAGATTGTGGTATTAGAGCTCCACATACATTTGACAACAGCTGGTACAGATAGATAGTATAAATATAGGTTATATATAAGTATATATTATATACTTATGTGTGATGTAAATTTAGGATAGGTTCAACCTAGGAGAAATAACTAAGGCTTCTGGAAATATATACCCTGTTGCATGGAATTAGAGTCTTTCTACTAAGCAAAACTGGTTTATTACACATTTAAATTTTCAGGGACAAAATAAATGGAGGCAAAGATATTCAAATGTGGATGACTATAACTAGGTCCCTAAATTCATAGTTGGGCATCATAAAGATGGCAGGGCACCCAGAATCTCAAAAAATTAGGGTATTTATTTAAGTGCCACGTTTCTAACTCTCTTAGCTACAAAAGCACCTTCCCAAATTTGTACTTTCCTGACTCTGCAGACAGGCACTGTTTTCATTTATTTCTATGATCCTTTTTTATGTAAGCATTACTTCAGAAATAAGACTGATAAATATTGATTCAAGACTATTTCTCTTCTTTATGCTTTTACATTCATTTTACAACAATTATAAGGATTTCCCTTCCCTCCCTCCACCCCTCCTCCTCATTTACTATGCACCAATAATATCCTTTTTACACAGTTTCTTGCCAGTTCTAGTGCCAGATGGCTCTGGTTCGGAGTTTTTCTTCCCTCTTGGGAACAATTCCCATTGTCATAGCAAAGAAGGTGTCATGGCTTTGAACCCAAAGGAGGAACCCAAATTTAAGGTGCAATGTGAGGAGGAGTTAGAGCACTAATGCTAGAAACCATGAAAACAGCACACACTTCCACTCACTGCTGTTAAGCAAAAGCCCTTCAGCAAAGGCTGTTTTGCATTTTTCCCCAATTGTCTGTGTATAGAAATCTAGTGCAAATTTAATTCCGTCACCACCTGACTCCATTCCCAGCCATGAGGTTCCCTTTGTGTCATAAACTCAGTTAGACATATGCATTTCACATTCTGGAAACAGATGTTAAAACAAAGTGCGTGTGTGTGTGTGTGTGTGTGTGTGTGTGTGTGTGTGTGCGCGCGCGCGCGCGCATCTGTCCATCCGTCCGTCCGTCCCAAGGTATAAATATAGATAGACTCATACTTTAAATTAACAACAAGAAGAAATTTAGTAAATCCTAGTTTTTGGATAGGTACCTATGAAAGACCAAGTATTCGTTTATGAACAGCAGAGCTGAATTTGTGTTTGTTCCCAGGGAGCCAGTCACACCTTTTGAGGTCAGTGGAGTTTCTCTGAATTCTTACTCATGTGACCAAAAGCAGAACTTGGTCCTCTGTCTCATTTTGTTTAAAAGTTGTTAGGAGACTTCCTTTGTATACCCTTTGTGTATATTCCCAGCAGGTCAGTGCGTTATCTGTGGGTGCTGGGGAATTTTACATTGCTGTAATTTGGCAGAAAATGAAAGACGTGGGTATTAATTTCTCAGTGTACTGCTTGAAACACCCAAGCATAATTACAAGGATTGACATCAAACTACACTTCTCTGTGCCACACAGCATGCAGCCGTTCCTTTAAAGAAATAGTGAAGTTTCTCCCCCTGCCTTGACTTTTCTACATTTTGTGTCCATTTGGTTTTGGAGAGGGATACAAGAGGTTTCAGCATTGATCAGAGAGTTAAATTATGCAGCTGCAAGGCTGCCAAGCCCTCCAGAATAGGATGCTTCGTTTAGATTTTTCACAATGCTATTGAAGTGCTTATTTTCCTCCTGAAGAGACACAAACAGATGCAAACTTCTGTAAACACTTTAGAAATGAATTCAGTGAGTTTGGCCTCTCAGCAGTGCTCAATAGCTGACAGAAAAATGTCTAATTAGTGCAAGTGGAAATAATAGGGCCACTTGGATTCTTTCCATCCTCCTCCAAGTCTACTTTTCCTAGGAACTCAAAGGCCCTTTTGTTTGGCAGGTCACCCTCTCTCAGGCTTTTGTGCTCCAATCTATTAAGGGAAGGAGGGGAGGAAAAAAATAGATTAGGCGATGCTCTGTGCTTAAATATGTGGCATGTTCATGAGCATTCGGAATGGGTAGTTTGCAGTGTCAGTTTACAGGTGCTTAGAGAGAGAGATTCCTCCACTGTCAGCAGCCACGAGGACAGCATGTGCATGCAGTGCAGGGAAGCCCTTTCAAGAGCCAGCCGGTGGGAGGATGCATACACCTCACATTCAAGGGGAAGTAAGCTTTTAAAAAATCCATCTTCTCAAAGCATGAACATGCTGGAAGCTGGCAAACATGCTGTTGTGGTTTGATTCCACAAGCTTAAAATCAAAACGTGCACTTTAAGTTTCTAGCCAAACCATCTCCAACTTACTTTTCCTTTCATCTGAGAGATGCATGATAAGCTCTACATTTAAAAGCTACCTGGTGCACCTTCAGATAGATTACTATGATCACCTCCATGGGTTTGAGCCTGATCTCACTTGCACCAGAGTGACTCAAGAATAACTCTGCTGATGACAAGATAAGAGCAGTATGAAAAGAAGAGTAGTTTCCATAGCCCACATATTTAAAGATACTAGGGTTACCATATTTCCAATTCCAAAAAAGAGGACACCTGTGGGGGAAGGGGAGGAGAGGGGGAGGGGCATATAATTGTTGGGGGGGAAGCAGTGATATGCCCCCTGCTCCCTCCCACCCCAGCCCTGCTTGTGCCTCTCACTCCCAGACAAGGGGTCCAAAAAAAAGAGGACCTGTCTGGGAAAACCCAGACATATGGTAACCCTAAAGTTAGGTACCTAACCTAAATACTTCTAAAGATCTGGGTCTGTTTCCACACGAAAAGAGAAAATGAAAGAAATGTTATAGGCCAGATATAAAAACTGAACTACTGTCCTAGCATTGTTCTTTAGAGATTTTGTGCTGACTTGGGTAACATTCTCTCTCCTGCTATTTAATAGGGTTTGGAGGCCAGATTCTTCCTCCTTCCAAAAAGTTTTAACTCCATCAGTTTCACTGGAGTTAGTCCTGACTGATGCCAGTGTGAAAGAAACAAGAACCAAGTCCTTCCTGTGAGAGAGCTCGACCCCTCATCGCTCAGATACTTTTCTCTATATAAACAGCCCCTTTCATCCAAGAACCTAAAACAGAAAATACAGCACAAGCTTTCCAAGTTGGACACGTATCATTCCAAGTCTCATTATTTATAGGGGGAGAACTGAGGGGCCTGTGAATGTGGTGGCCAAAAGCCACCATGCTTGTTAATTTTGTACAGGAAAAGCATAAAGGGGATGGATCCCTGATTGCAAGAGTCACTTTCTGAGGCCACGTGCGTCTCCCCTTTGTACAAACAACCCCTTTTACTTCCCTCTTGCTTCAAACAGAGGGCTAGTGTAAGCCATGGGAATAATATAAAACAGGGTCCCAGTTAACAGCAGTTAGAGACAATAAATCCACTCTTCTGCAGTTGGTGCTCAGGGAGTAATTTCCAGATGGGGAAGAAGTTTCCTGCCATGATTACTAGCCCTTCATTCTCAACTAAGCATACTAATGTAATTTGTTTACCTCCGTGGAATAACTCTACTTTCCCCTCTCTCAAAGCAAACCCTTGTAGGAGGTAAGAAACTCTGAATGTCAGCATGTCCAGGTTCTCTCCTCATTGTTCCATTGGGGGGCTGACCCCCAACCTCCACGGAGAAGGCCCCCTAACCTGACAGATGTCCCAAGATCTGCATGGATCTCTGGACACCCACAGAGGCTCTGTGCTTCCACACAGCTGCCCTGCTGGCCTCCCTTCCCGCTAACAGCATGCTCCTTCATGAGCTCTGGCTGATTTCTCCTGCCAGTGTGAAGGATCAGCCACAGAGGGGACACCAAGGGAGTTAATACTGCTTTAAAAATCATTAAAGGTGACCTAAAAGGAAAAACATTGGACTCCTGCCCTGTTTGCTGCTTTGTGATGTATGAAGGAGTGTTTGATCTTGCAATCTTTAGTGTTGAATTAATGCCACTTGTTTATATTTAGGGCCTGATCCCACAGAGAGCTGAGTGCCTCCCCTATCAGACTTGTAAAGGGGGAAAAAAAAAGAGGAAAGGAAAATCTGGAGGCAAAATACACTCCCACTGAAGTGACTGGGAACCCCCCACAGCTCAATCCTGACAATCAGGCCTCTTATTTAAATATGATTTGAATATTCACACACCGTTAAACAACTGGCCTGCTTTTTCAGAAGCACTCTGAAAGTTTGGCAGTTTTCATCTTGACCTCTCCATGTCACCTGGAAGGCAGGAATAGTAAGATATACACACCTCCTCTAGGTGCTTTGAGACTTGTGGTTACCAGTTACAATACAGAGCTGTTTCTGAAGTCATCCTGTGCAACTGCAGCTCTCATTGGCATCGGGCAAGAACTAGAGAGCTCAGTGCTTCACAAGGTCAGGTGCTGGAAGGCCCAGTCATTATTAATTTTTTCAGTATTGACTTACATGTATTTGCAGAACACCAGCCTTTATAGTTCATGGGGCTGTACAGCAAATAAAAGGACAAAGATTAAAGCCATAGTACGCTACCACAAACAAACTCAAACTACCCAGCCAGAATCCCCTGCTAAAAAAAAAAAAAAAAAATCAAAACAGAATTAGTCATATTTATAACACCAATAAACACTTTCTCTATATCCCCCTTCCCTATCCATAACTAAGAGCACAAGAACAAACTAATTGCAAGCAGGTTTTGAAATGCACACAAAACATTCAAATCAGCCAGTGGAGATTTGTTTTTCCTCATGTTCATTTATTTCATCTCCGTAAAATTGCATTTCTGTCTTGCAACAATTATGGAAAATTTTCTGTAACTGGAAATTTGCCTGACTGCATAATGTTTTTTTAGCCAGTATCATTAGTCAGAGAATTGCTAGCCCTGAATATTTTCCGTAACCAGTTAACTGAGCTGCTTTTATCTCTTCAGTTTCTTCCTGGCTGCCTCATGGTTTTGGCGTTCTTTTCAGGTTTATCTGAAAGCCTCCATCATGGTCAAGGACTATGCAACAGCAGCTGCTATTGTGTTCCTGACTGACCGATTCCTATATTGGGTTGATGCCTCCAGCAAACTTCTTCAGATTGCCAAAGGCCTGCATAAGCTGCAGCCAGCAACACCAATTGCCCCTCAGGTGGTTATTCGCCAAGCTCGCATCTCTGTCAATTCAGGTAACAGCACTTTTGTTGTGTTTTCTTTCCATTTTTTCAGCTCGGTTTCAATTAGGAGCTACTTGACTTTCAAGAAGATACTTTGTCCCATTCAGGGGCTGACATTCCTATGATCCCAGTGCCATCTTTTTAAACCTCCATCCCACTCCCAGCCCCCTTCATCCCTCCCATCTCCTCTTGCCAGCACAAAGGGGCTGGCATAAAGGGCTTCAGAGCCAAAAGCAGTAGAGAAAATTGTGAAAGGGTGTGGAAAATACTAATTGGAGCTTTTGTTCCTTAACAAATCTGCCCTGCTGGTTTCAAACAGGGGTATCTGAATTGCTATATTTCTGATCAACAGCCTTTAAAAACTAGATTAGAATCCTGGTATTTTCTCTGTACTATCCCAGTCGCTTTTCATTAGGGCCACTTGACTATGCAAACAATGCAGTGGAGAGACCTGCTCATATACCCTGGTATCTTTTTATTTATTTCATTTTTTATCACTTTTTTCCAGCATGGACAGAAACAGAATGTTCTTTAAAGTATCTTCCTGCTGTGGCTTTGGGCATCAAATAAAAAGCAACAAAGCTGACCTAATCTAAGCTTTAAAACCTAAGCTTTATTTTAAAATATATATATATATTTTCAGAAATCATGGTTAGAGAAACTATATTATCTACCTTAACAGCAACTCTTATCTGTCCTTATGCATTTCTAACATTTCCATTGCTGTGGGGTTCAGTTATTGGACTACTCAAACGTGTGGGCTAATTCTGAAAATACTGACAACATTTTATTCACATAAAGTAAATTTTCAGCTGGACCAGGCAGTGGTCATTATGAAGAAGGCTTTCAGCTTTACATCCTCTCTCTTGGTCTTCAAACCTGTCCTGTGCGACACAAACCCTTGAAATGTGTAAGCAACAGCTAATGCATGGAACACCCACAGTTAGTTGCACATTGTGCCACAAGTGACAGGACTCACTGTTTTTTCCCCACAGTCAGTCCTGTATTTAGGATATTTCCAAACTAAAAGAGTCAGTGTTGAGTGGTGTTACAGATGGCAGCAATCACAAAAAAAGTCAGGCCCAACTTGCTCAAAAGTTGGTGGTGCATGAAAAGGGTCCCTGAGTCAGTTTGCCAGGGCACAAGAGTGTGCGGGCCAGGAGCGACCCGAGCCCTTTTCCGTGCTGCACGCGGGCTGTGGCCAGCAGCCTGGGCACGCCGGGTCGGAGAGGGAAGGCCGTCGAGCTGGAATTAGGCACAAACGCGTATCGGTAGTTTTAAAGATTGTTTACTTACACCGAGATGGCAGTGGTGTAGGCTGGAAAACTTGCTTGAGTTGCGGTTACAGACAGACAACACAGACGGTCTCGTGGAGGTTGCTAGGCTCCATGATGCAGAGCTCCAGATGCCCTGGGTGAACGAGCCACCAAAATGGGAATCGTAGATACGTCTTATAAAAGTCGCGCTCGAAGACGGAAAGAGGTGGGCGGTGGATCAGGCCGCCAAGCTCCTCTGGATCTCACACAGGGTTTCTATTACCCTGCCGTGTACCCAAAGTCCCCACAAGATGGATGTGGAGTCCTCTTCAGCTTGGGCGGAAACCGCTCAAGCCTCTTATACGGCTAACAGGCCAATCGTTAGCCGCCACGTGTGAATAATTTAGAACTAGCCAATAGCGGGGAACGAATTTGCATACCAGTGGCGGGGACTCTTTTGTACCGTGCACTCCTCTTTCAACATAAGCAATGCACTCTGCAAAAGAAGCTGTAGAAAAAGCGGGAAACTCGTCCCTGCACCGGGGTTTTCCTCTGCAACAGGAAACTTTCCCGTGCAATGAAGCTGCAACTTGGCGGGGATAATTCTGGTGCCGAGGCACACACAAAAATCATGCCTTTGGGTCATGACAAAGAGGAAGAAGGTATTCAGGGAAATAGGATGTCCTCTGCTCAGACTACCCCAATATAGTTAACTCAGGCCAGGCCAACCTCACTCTGCTCTCCTCTGGTATAAGGAGTTCAGTCCCTTTCCCTGTGTCTCTGCAGAGCTTTAAAACTACTGCCTCTGCTCTCTCCAGCCCTCCTCTCTGAAGAGCAGAGAGATGGATCCAAGCTGCCCATGATTTCAATGGGAGGCCAAAGGGAGCAGTCTGGCCTACTACATTTTTCATGAGAGGAAGAGGGAGAGAGTCTGCCAGCCTTCAGAGAGGCCAGCAGCTCATGGTCTGTTTCACGTTCTGCTCTCCGTCACCTTCTGAAAATACCTTCAGCCCAAGATCCTCTCCCTAGTCTGTGCCTGTGCCCATGACCCTCCCTCCTTAATAAGAGGTGCTGAGAGAATGAGGTGCTCTAACTTACTGGAGGAGAATCTACTCTTTTCCACAACTTCTTGCCTGTCAGTTGTTGCTGCTTCTGGTCCTCGAAAGGCATTGCCTGCCCTGGGAAACTAGAAACACAAGCAAAACCCTCTCTCCTAAGAGCTAGCTCATGCCTGCTCCATACATGCTGCACTAATGTTGCATACAAGAGGCAAACTGCAAGGCAACTTTACAGTAAGCTTGGCTGCCTGTCATTTGAAGGGGAGTAGAATAATGGCACCACCTACCTCCAGCCCTCTTGTAAATGCCTTTATCCCTCCCCATAACTATGTGGCTGTACAGGAGCTGGCAGACATGATTAAAAATATTATATTAATAACTTCAGTGACAGTCATATCTGAAAGGAATGAGGTAAGACCACACTAGGAATCCAACCAAGTTCTGTCTCCCCTGGAGTGGACAATACCATCATTAATCATTAAGAGAACAAGAATGTTTTTGTTCAGTCCCTATCTCCTTAAACCCACCTATGTGCAACCCAGGCACTGGAGGACAGGCCACTCCTTGCAGTATTTTATATCCCTATAGCCTCTTCTAATGGAGGAGCATGGTGCTTTACAAACTCACACTTCCCATGTAGGAGATGGGTTTATCGACAGGTTTTTTACTACTAATCTTCGCTGTCATATCTGAACACCTTCCACATAAAATCAACAGCAACAGTGAATTCCTTAGTTGATTGCAGAAAAACTCTGGGTCTGCTCTCTTTTTAAATAGTTCTGTTAGGTGTAGGGGTTTAGGTTGTAGCCGTGTTGGTCTAAGGACATAGGCAGACAAGGTTCCTTGGGTGAATTTGATATCTTTTATTAGACCAACCCAAATAGTTGGAGAATATTTATTAAGCAAGCTTTCGGGTTCAAAAACCCTTCGTCAGGCTAAGGAAGTTAGGTGTATGTTTTTGTTGCTGCTTTCTTCTGTTAAAAAAAAACTAAGTAGCATTATCAGGTATCCTGCAAACACACCGCTGAATATATTACATTAATACAAGAGGAACTACAGTGTAGCAAATATATTCTCAAGTTACTTCAGGATGGTGCCACAGATTCATTGTTTCTGCATGCACAATTTTCTAAGTACAAAGAAACAGTGGTAGCCTAGATAAAGAGACTTATTTTCTTTATCACTTCTGCAAGATTTCTGTGTATGCAAATATGTATGAGTCTTACAGATTCCAGACCACTTGTTTAAAACTACCTGTGCATGTTTAAAAAGCAATTCTTATTCTAGAAACTTACTTTTCTATACATTATGGAACTAAAAACATGTAAGTATGACTAGTGAATGCATTAGGAACAGAAAAACAACCTCCAACAAAGAGGCCTTGATTAATGAATAATTCAACACACTTTCAGTGTTTGTTTTTTATTTTTTCAGGTAAACTTTTAAAAGCTGAATATATTCTAAGCAGCCTCATAAATGACAATGGAGCTACAGGTATGCTATGATAGTTTGCAATTTGGTAAATCTTTTAACTTACTGTACCATTCATTACACTTACACATCCTTTGAATATGCTGCTTCACTCCCCAACTCTCAGTAATGATCATTCTTTATATCATATTTTTCCCCTTAACCTTAATATGATATGGATGGAAAACCTTTTTCTTTTTTAACTTTCTTAATTCATTCAGAACCCAAACTCTTCAAATCTTTGCTTATATCAAGAAGTACTTTGCACCTTTGCATTGCCTGTCTTCTGCTTCTTTGCCTTGGGAATTTCTAACATTTTGAAATTTTAAGTAGTGTCAGATTGGGAGGAGGAAGGGGCAGGAAGAGAGGAGGGGAATCAGTCAGCAATCAGAGAAATGTTTTCTTTCTTCCATTCCAAACATGAAATTACTCTCCAAAATTACACTGATCTTATGCACCAAAATATGTCAGTGCTAATTACAGGTTTAAATATCATTATTTAGTGACCTTCATATCTAGAACTGAAAGGAAGACAGAGTGAGTCCCTGGGTTTCATACTGCTTGTTCCTAGTCTTGGGACCTGTAACAGAACAGACATTCAGTTCACATAAACCAGTTTGAAAATGGCTGAAACCAGTTTGAGATAAATCTGGTTAAAAGCAATATCAGACCTAACTGATTTGGGTCAAACAGATTTATGCAAGTTCTGTCCCAGGCAGCTGGTAAATTTCCTCTATCCCTTCCTTGGAAAAGCTGTTTAAGAGCTTGAACTAATGAAAGAAGCTTTTGTTTTCTTGATGGGGTGCTAAATGCTATGTTATCAACTTCCCTATGGCTCCCTCACTGGTGAGGAGCAGCGAGGGAGTGAGGAACTCCTCCCAATCAGAGCATCCTGCCCAGACCTGGCCATGCCCCCACTTAGCTCAGCACTGTTGAAGGGAAGGGAAGGGACAGCTCCTCTAGTGTCCCCTGGCTTCTAGCCTGAGCCAGTGCAGGCATGTATCTGCATTTCTTCAATCCACAGGGAATGTCCGGGTGGTTGCAAACAGGTTCAGCCTAGCCAGGTTAGACTAACCTGCAAACATTGAATCAATTCAGGCTTTTTAAACATCTGTCCCTAGCCAGAAAGATCTAAAATGTTCTTCTAGTATTTTGATAAGTATGTTAGCATTTAAAAATGTTCTAGTTATCATTTCTGTCCCCTGCAGAAATCTCTATAATTATTGTTCACCTTAAGCTTGGAATGATATGTGGCTCTAACACTCAATAAGCAAGAGCCAGGCCTCCGAGAAATATGAGATTATTAAAGAATCCTCTCCACCAAATTTTCGGTTCCATTTGTTTTCTGGCTTCTGTGTCATTAGGGCTTACTTGGCTCACATTGTCAAACATTTCTTTGTAACCATGAGGAATAAACTCTGGTTATTTCTTTTTTATGAAACAGATTCTCACACTCATGAAACACCAGAAACTGGGTTTTTAAGGGGGAAAAAAAAGAAAACCACCAACTATAACAAAACCTATGATAAAAAATAAGTTAGAATCAGCAACCCTGGCTACTGAAAACACCATTAAACTAAAAAAATAAAAATAACAACCTCTTAGTTGGGTGGCACTCAGTGATCACAACTGTGTGTAACCTTTGTTTGTCACTTCCTTTGTTTATGTTTTTTAGTAATGTACGGTACAAGTGTGTCTGGTTTTGATTTGCACTTAGCACGTTTACCCTTTAGCTAATAGCATTCTATGTATGTGCATTTATATGTGAAAGATACCGTCACCTCTAAGAAGAATTAAGAATCAATTTATTTTCTTAATCAAGGTAGGGTATTATGAACACTAGCATTTTAATATTATAATATAGGATGTCCAACTTCTAAGTGGCCAGGGGTCCACGCATCCCCTCAGACCACACTAGCAGGGGCTGTACCAGTGGAGGGCCACAGGCCCCAGGGACTGTATGACCCTCACCCCTCCCACTGTACTGAGCTCCCAGGTGTGCCCCCTTCCCCCCCACTTCTCCATACATACTGCCCTACCCCACTGCTGCACCTCAGGTGCTCCCCTACCCCCCTGCTGCACCACATGCCTACCCTGCTGCTGCTCTCCATACCCCTACTTGGACAGCCCTGGTATAAGGTATTGGTAGGGGATAGGAAAACAATTTATATAGATGGCAGCATAACACTCTCTCTTTTTAACCAGTAATAAATCACCACAAATAAGCAACCCTACATTAATGCATTCAACCCCTTAAATTAATATGTATGTATTTCAATATTATTTTATTAATAGTTACACGTAGCCAACTTTTGCAAATCACCTCAAAATCCCCAGAGGAAAGGTTCTATATAGAAGTACTAATTATCCACTCTTACTACTACTGCTCAATACTACATCTGTGTGCATGGTTGGTAAAAAGCTTTGTACCTGTATATTTATCTAGGTTCTTGTTATAGCCTGTTACCTTGATATCTGAGTACCTCTAAGATATCTGAAGGCATAGCACAAAATGCATTGAAGTCAATGGAAAAAAAAACCCAGTTAACTTCACTGAGATTTGAATAAGGTTTTAAGAACTCAGACTATAACAACACTTAATCTCCAGTGAGTTTTTAAAATGTCATTTCAGGTACGTGGCTGTATCATAAGGAAAGTGATAGGATTCTTGTTCAGTCAGTCTGCTTACAAATCAGAGGACAGATTCTGCAAAAGCTTGGTAAGATTCCTCTCTGCTACACTAGTATTTTTCCTATAGCAATTCCACAATTTTTAAGAGATAAAGAATACACTTCTCATATTCACAGCTCACTATAAGGTAATTTTTGGGTTCAAGACAGCTTATCTAAAACTTGCCCCTGGCTTCTATGACAGAAAGTCACAGAAAATTAGTTCTGCACACAGCTGGTTGAGACAACAAGAACTCACAGCTGACAGGAGCCCATTGACCAAGCAAATGTACTTTGCAAATAGGCAGTCTGTTGCTGAGACAATGAGGTGGTAGGGAGCACTCACAGATGATGTCTATATTGTCATTTTTAATGTTAAGCTATTCTGTCTTCATCCACCCTCTTTCCCAAATGCTTTATTCCTGAAGCCAGTAGCTTACCCTAAGACATATTGCATGGCAGCTCCCTGTGCAAGCATGAGACATCTTCAGGCCGGGGGCTGACAAGTTCCTGTATGCAGCCCCCCTGCATGGAAGGCTTCTTGTACAGACAGACTAGGGATGCGCTGTTCCTTGTGTGTAAACTTGTTTTCACTGGTTGCTAATCTGGGCTCTTTCAAAGGTATATTGACATGTACAAACCAAAGCAAAAAGAAATTAATAAATTTTCCATTGTAACCAACTTGGAAATGTGCCACAGAATGATTTGATACAGCCTTGAAATCTCCCTAATCAAGGCAGATGAAATAAGCCCAGAGACATACAGCAATGGTATCACTTAAGGATGCAGCCTGCTTATTGACTGTTTCTCTGCTTTATTTCAGGAATGTGGTATGAAGCAGCAGAATTGATTTGGGCCTCTTTGGTGGGCTATTTAAAACTTCCTCAGCTGGATAAAAAGGTTGGTTTGGTTTGGTTTTTTCACACTGAATATTCTTACTAATTCAAAGTCAATTGCAGAATCCTCGTATCAACATTCTCCTAGCTAAACAAGAAAAATATATGCTAGATAGAGTCAACATTAAAGTGGATACATAGTTGGCTAAATAATCTCTAACTAAAAGTAACTAAAATGGATTAATGTCAGGATGGCAGGAGGTTCGTTTGGGATCCAGTGCTATTTAACGGTTTCACTACTGACTTGGATGCGAGAGAACTTCCTGATCAAGTTTGCAGATGATACAGAACTGTAAGGGACTCCAAACACTGAAGGAAATGGGTAGGTTCCAAAAGAACCTTGATAAATTGGGGAACTGGGCTACAGACAACAAAATGAAAGTCAGCAAAGGCAAGCATAAGGTGCTATATTTGGGGCAGAAAAACCAAATGCACACTTACAAAATGGGAGGGAGGCAATTGGGTAGGTAACACTGATGCTGAGAGGGTTATAGCAGATCACAAATGCAGCATGAATCCACAATGGTCACAGAAATATGGCAATTTGGGGCTGCTTTAACAAGAGTGTTGTATGCAAGACAAGCAAGATGATAGTACCGCTCTAGTCTAGGCTGGTTAGGCCTCAGATGGGGTATTGTATGGAATTCTAGGCTCCACAATTTATGAAGGATGAAAAGAAAATGGAGTAAACCAAGTAACTAATATGATAAAGGGGCAGAATGAAAACCGTGTGAGAAAAGGTTGAGAGAACTAGTTATCGTAAGTTTGGAGGAAAGGGGATTAAGGGTGAATGGGACAGCAGTTCTCCAATATTTGAAAGGCTGCCATAAAGAAGAGGGAGAACAATTGTTCTCTTGCTACGAAGGGTAGAACATGAAACAGATTTAAATTGTAGCACAACAAATTTAGATTCAATCTCAGAAAATAAGAATTCCTCATTCTGAGAAGAGTAGAACCAAAGAATAAGCCACCCAGAGCAGTGTGGACTCTCTTTTACTGGAGGTTTTCAAGAAAGCATTTGTCTAGAATGGTTAAGGATAGCGTATCCTGTATTTGTGCTGGACTAGATGACTGCTGAGGTCTCTTCCAAACCCATGGTTCTATAATTCTCTTTACCACAACCTTATTTCAAGATGCATTCAGTTTCATGTAGTGCTGGTTTTCCTTTAACCAGGGTTAATACTTGGGGCAAACATAGCTGAAGATTACACAACATTTTGCATATGTTTGTATTTTGACCACCATATCTTGACTTCTGTTTTATTTCTGAAAATAAATAATGGGATGGTTTTCAAGTGGCAGCACCATCAGATGCATGTCTGTCACTGTCCGATCAAACAGGATGCTGCAATGCAGACCTCTGACAGAGTAATGCCATGATACACAACTATTAATATTACTAATTTTAGGGATTACTTCTTTAACCTTGGAACAAAACAGCAGAGTGTTAAACTAAACACAAGCAGATAAATAAAACCTCTTGTTTTCTTAGACACATTTAGCCAGGATGTAATGTAACTTATGTCCATAGGTGCTGCTTATGGCTTCTCTTAGGCATACTCTTTAGCTCAGACTTGCTAATCATCCACATTACAAAACCTTTAGTTTGCTCCCCCAACAGCAGTCCTGCCCACCCATAGAGCCTCTTGTGAACATCATGACTCAAGGTCAAGCTGTCTGATAGTGCACACCATCCTCATGAAAGGTGACTTTTACTAACTACACATGTATACAACTGTGTACCCACCCACCCACCATGTAACCTACTTCACACACCTAGTAGGTATGTACACACTTGTAGATCCACACAAGACACTAATCAGGATCATAAACTCTGGACAAGTGCCAAAAATGGCTGTTACCTGGCTGGGTAACTTCCTTTTGAGCATGTCATCAAGAAAAGCAGGACTCCACCTATATCATCTGTGAATTTGGAGAAGGTCGCAGGTCTGAGGCCAGTCAGGAATCAAGGTACCAACCGAGGTTGGGAGGAGTGAACAAAATTCAGGCACAGGCTAGGTCTGGAAAAGCCAGGAGATCAGTCAAGAGCAGGGTTTAGGAACAAACTGAGTCAGAAAGTCAGGAGATGAAGCAGAGAGTAAAACTGGAGATCAGACAGAGAGAGAGCACATGCAAGAAGGAACTTCAAAGCAATCTAAGATCAGACTGAGCCCCATTCATCAAACACTTCCAGTTCCAGTTCAGGGATTTATGTGGAGGAGCTGGAGGGTCAGCTGGCCCTAACCAGCCACTCCAGTGAGAGGGTGGAGAGCTAGGCCCTTCTGGAGACTTCAGGACAGTCTTGACCGAGTCGGTGACAAGTTGTAGGATGGCAGTCTGGGATGAGTGGCTGTGCTGGTCAAGCCACGCCAAAGTTGTAGGTTTGAGGTGGTGGCTTGACAGATGCCAATCTACATTAGTACTTACTTTTCTGCTTTGCCTACAGCTGTATGATAATCTGACTAACCAAAATCCAACTAAATGATTCGTCTCTGAATTTCCAATCATGTCCTCTCTTCTCTGTTTCTATCATTGCTTCTTTCAGAGCACCAAGCACATTGTAAGCATTAAATAAAAACAGATAATAAAAAGGGGAGGAGGGAAATAAAATGTATTTTCATTTCTTTCCTAGGGGATTGCTACATCATTGGGTATTATGGCAGACATCTTTGTTTCCATGAGTGAGAAAGATTATATTCGTTTTAAAAACACTTCGGAGGTTGATCTGGTAAATATTTATGTCTGAGAATTTCCTTTATATAGCTGCACCATGCTCATCCACATTTCCTACTCTTGGCTTTACACTGAAAATGCTGGTGTTTCCCCCAGAAGTCCAGTGAAAGAGTTTATTTCCCCTAAAAAAAATGATTTATCCCATTCTTTCAGAATAAATTAAAGGAACATTGTGAACAGTTTCTAAGAACAAGGTTGGACATAGTTTAAACTTACACAGGCAGCAAAGATGAACATGGTAGACTACAAAAAAAAAGAAAAAATTGTTGCAGATCAAGTTATTGGGATAGCTGGTCTGTACCCTACTCCTGTCAATAGAGAGTCTCATTATGAGGATCAAATCCTCTTATGGAGCCAAACCTTAGAGGTAGCGATCATCTACAAATCCTGAAATTCAGACTCTGTGCTTACTAAATTCTAATCCTCAGTGAAGTTATAGCAGTTCAGGAGCTAGGGTGCCGTGACAGCGCAGGGCCAGGGTTTCATGGAGATTGGCCCCAGCAGCACTGGCAGGGCGCACAGCTGGGTGAGGAGCTGCTCCAGGGTGGGGATCTTGTGGCAACTGTGGTCCAGAACCAGGGCAGAGCTGCGATCCACTGCCCGCATGCTCCAGGCAAGAGCATGCAGGCAGTAGATCGTGGCTCAGCCCCAGCTCTGGACCATGCCATCACCACTTCTAGATCCCACCCCCAGCCCCAGCTGCAGAGTAACTCCCTGCCCAGCCACACACCCTGCCAGCACTGCTGGGGCCAGTCTCCATGGAAACCCTGGCCCCGCGCTGTGACAGTGGTGCCACTCCTGGCATCTCCATGGAGACCAGGCACAGCAGCACAGGCAGGGACAGCTGGGGAATGGAGTCCAACCTCTGGCTGGATCCTCCATTTTGCCCACCCCTGGTGTAATCACTGAGGTTTAACTGATTAAGGAGGTTATTAAGTTGTAGGTGAGTGAGAGCACTCTGTGCATCTCAGGATTTGCCCCATAATGAGTGTATATCTAAGGCTCCCCTCTACATGCAGAGGTAAAGGCACCATGGGATCTAATGCACAGTTTACATAATCACACATCCTGTCATGCCACACATGCATGGCAGGAGGCAATATTGTGGGATTGCGCATTAGATCCCAGCTCATTTTATTGCCAGTTAGTGGGACCCTTTGGGCTGGGGGATCACAGCAGCAGCAATTTCCCAAGCTCAGGGGTGTGTGAAACCCCTGGGCCCTGGGAATCATGGTAGCCTTGATCCCTAGGGCTCAGGGATGCATAAAACTTCCAAGACTGTGTATCAAGGTAGCTGTGATCCCTAGTGCTCAGGGACTGCATGGAGCCCCCGAGCCCAAGGCATCACTGCTGCCTCAATCCTCAGGACTCAAAGATTTCATGCTGGACATGATGCACCCCTGCAGCTGGGAGCCGTGTCAGCTGATGAGGCTCTCAGCTGCAGGGGAGACCCTATTACACGTGCAAATTAAAGCTCAATAGCAACCAGCTATAAAGTCAGTACACATTTTTGAGGTCTAACTTCAGCTGGTTGGAACTTTTAATCATGTAATAGCCAATGTAATAGAGTAGCTGGTCTTAAGGTAACTGCGCAATTAAGCAGTTAGTTGCACAATACCTGTAAAGTGTAGAGGGGGCTGAACAAAACAACTTGAGAAGAGTGTGTTCCCTGAACCCAGAAGTGCAATCTGCTTAGGGCATTGCACTGAAAAAACTTGAAATTCCATTCTTTTCCACACAAAGGCAAGACTTGCAGGCTGAACCCAGTGCTTGTTTAGGCAAAATTTCTATGGAACTGTATAAATATATATAGTAAGGCTGCACACTTAAAGGCGCAAGAATTCAAGGTATTGAAAAGTTAAGATCCTATCTTAATTTGTATGTGCTGCCCATGTTCAGTACCTTCTTTCCCTGTTTTTAGTTATATATGTAGCTTAATTTAACAATGACATCAAATGACTTGCATAAAATCCCTGGCCAAGTTAACACTGCAGTAGGCCTCCCTATTTAAATTCATAATCTGAGTTCCTTTGTTTTGACTGCCAAAGTGCAGCATTTTGTCAACATTGGACCAAATCCTGACTCAGTTTTCATCACTTCCAGAGCTGAGCCACAGCTAAGCCCTGCAAGGAGGGCAGGCCCACTGATTTCAATAGTTACTGTAGATTACAGAGGCTCATGGGTTGATTCTGAAACTACTCCCTGCCCTCCATCTCTGCCATTGCTTTCAGTAATGAGCTGTCTTGAGTATTTTTAATGGTTACTTGCCCCCCCCCCCATTTCCTGAACAAAAATGTATCATTATAAACGTAGGAATATCTATTCTACATACTCTTTAATAGTTCTTTTATTTAAACATATGTAGCTTTTCTGTGAGAGTTGGGGCAATAACTTCTCTAAGTAGCTTTCTCCTTATGACTTCTTCAGGTTAATGTTTTGTCATGTTGAGTATGATTTTAAGAGGAAAGGAGAGACCAGGCCAGCATTTCCTGTGATTTTTCTGCCTCATTAATACTTCCCACATAATTTGCACCAGATTGTCAGGGAGACAGGTATTGAAAAGCAACTATATGTAGGTAAAGGTGTCCTATAACATAAGATGTTTATTTAAAATTAAAGTTAGGACCTACAATTGTGGAGTCCAGCTAACAACAAATTGTTATGAGTTTGGTTCTCATAAAAAGGAAAATCAAAATCAACTCTCTTTTTAAAAAAGAAAACTTGTGTCTGGATCATTTTCCCTTCTGCTATTTCAACAGAGCCTTCTCCAAGAGTCTGACCATCGCTTACTATCAGCTGCTGAAGCCTGTAAGCTGGCAGCCACCTACAGCCAGTATACCCCACTTTTTGTGCTCACAGCAGTGGTAAGTGTGATATCAGAAGTTAGCACTTCTTAGAAGTTAGTGCTGCATATGCTTTCTAAGAGCTTGGACCATGGCCATAAAATATAGATCGATAGCCAGATGGCCAACTCCCTATTATTTGGGATGCTCATCTGTGTGGTTTACATATGCTGGCTCCCAGCTACCTTCCAAAACCAAATAGAGAGAAAAAGAGCAGAGAAACCCATTCCCAAGAGCAGTGATGATTTTCAAATCAATATTATACTCTACCTGCCATTCTAAATGAATTTAAAAGGTGATGATGTCTTATTTTCTAGAAATGCAGAAGTCGATGGTGAGAGCTGGCATGTGCACTTTGAAATCCACAAAGACGAGCATTTTTTAATTTTGGTCTGAAGCACATTACTATATTTTTAATTCATTGGCTTCTAATCCATTTTCCTTTCAGAACATCCGTGGGGCATGTTTACTGTCCTATAGTCACTCCAGTGAATGTCCTCCAGAGAGGAAAATGTTCTATTTGTCCAAAGCTAAGGAATCCTTTGAGATTGGCCTTCTCACCAAGAAGGATAATGACCCCATAACCAGCAAGCAAGAGCTTCACAGTTTTATTAAAGCAGCTTTCTGCCTTACAACTGTGCATCGACAGCTCTATGGGGAAAGCGAGAGCCTCTCTGAGGTGAGATGCCTATGTACAGAAGCCATGGAGAAACTGTACATTTACATCACTTCATTTACAGAAGAACAAGACAAAGGAATGCTTTCCAAGGAGATCATGACTCTGATCATGTCTGTGAGGGAGCATTTACAAGTGCAGAGCTTCCCTAATTCAGATGCCAGGTCTTACGTTCCAGACAGCTACAAAAGCAGCGTGGAAAAGCCTGTCTTGTGTGGTGAAGTGAACTTTGAGAAACTTCTTGAAATGCATTCCCAGCATCATAGGTCAGTGTGTGAAGTGTTTGAAAACACTTGCAGGAGCCATAAAAACCAGCTAGGAGAGTCCAAAGCAGGAGCATGTATCACTGCCTTGAAAACAGAAACCAAAAATATAGACACGGCGTGTAACACTGAAGAAAGAGGGTGCTGTAGGAAAGACACTGCCAAAGCCTCTGCCTCACAAAAAGCCAGAAGAGGCCATGAAAGGCTCAGTGGCCAAACAAGAAGGAAATGGACCGGTTCTGGTGCAATGAAAGTCTCCCTTAAGGAAGAGATGGAGATTGAGCCATTAAACAGGGAAGCAAATAATGAAAGAAACAAGTTGCAAAGCAGAAGTCAAACTACTAGCTCTTTAAAGTCTTGGAGCAAGTTGTCAAAATCAAGTTCCTCTACCAGCTGGGAGGAGATAGATTTTAATGACAACAGTGAGCTGCCTAGAGAAGGGCAGGAAAGGGAAGAGGGCTCAGTGGATGAGAAGTGTTGCACAGCCATGTCTGAAGCTGCTGAGGAAGATGTTCAGGCTAGTAACCTGTCTTCCAGAACTCATCATCTCTCTCTTCAAGAGCCTCAGGGCAGCTGCTCAGGTCCTCCCCAGTGTCCTTTAAAGAAACATGGACCCTCAGCTAACAGGCTAAAGACTGCTCCCTCAGATTGTAGAGAAGGGCTCTTCAGGAGGACAGAACATGAAAGGGATGCTTCAGAACAGAAAGCAGGGGTGGCCAACAGCATAGATTGCCAAAACAGTGCTGTTTCTTTCTTGGATCCTCACCCTTCTGGTCCCAAAAGATCTGACAAGGAGGTAGGTTCCTCTTGTTTGACAGAACGAAAATCCTTCGAAAGGGTTGACCCCTCAGCAGAAACTGATTCCAGAACCAAGGACAGCAACAGAGATGCCAGCATTATTCACAGTCCTTCTCCCAACAGCATCAAGAGTGGAAATGTAAGAGATGTGGGAAGGTTTAACAGAGTCACAAAACCATTATCAAGAAATAACTATATGTGGATTGACCCAGAAGGAGAAACTGTAGACTCTACAGAGGATCTATCAGCTGAGCCACACATAACTATAGATAAGGTGCTTTCTACTAAACCTACAAACAAGCCAGAAATGGCCAGTGATTCTTTTGTAGATGACTGGATTAAAAAATCTTCTGCTGCCATGGCTGGAAATGGATCCTTTGATATATCTGAAGTTGATACCCAGGCAGATACAGTGGATGACTGGGAATTTGCTTGTAGCAATAGTGGGAGCTCAGTGAACAACTTTCCTGCCATCAGTGTTTCAAGGCATCAGGCTAGCCACAGGGATAAAACTAGGGCTTCATTATCAGGGAGGAAGAAATCAGTAACTGACCACTTCCACGATTGTGCTACCACTGAGGAGGATGAAGGTGAAAATCTCAGGAACGTTCTGAACAGAAGCCACAGTTCAAGTTCCTCTATGAAATCATGGTATAAATCATCTCAGTTTTCCAGCAGTTTCTCTGAATTAGAGAGTCCATCATTTCTGAACTCTAGTGGGAGCTCTTTTGTTTCTGTGCCTGGGAGAAGCAAGGAACAAATCCTAGAAGCTCACTTTCTGAGGGACGATGAATATGAGAAGCTCTTGTCAGGTGCTGAGCATAACTGGCTTGTGCAGAGACTGAAAACTACTGGAATATTCAAAGCTAATCATCTGCATCAAGCATATTGTAAGTACCATCTCCCCTTGGTGCATATGTTGCATTCCAACATATCCTAATCATAGGTAGAAAGTTCATGTTTTCCATAAAGTGGAAAGTTCAAGCCTCAAGTGTATTTCATATTGCATACATGCTGGTCCTCATACTACAGTGATGAGCATGTTACAACCCTAAAAGAGAGATATAAGTATCAGAAGTAAATCTGGGGTCCAATCTTTGGACACTTATTCATGTGTATATAGGTTCTGGCCTTCTACATCAGAGTTCAGAGCACTGGTCTTGTAAAATAACGGTTGTACATTGATTATCATTAAGGCCTTACACCAATAATTTAGGTCAGAATAGACTAGGGATTGCTCCCTTCTGGACTGAAAGATGCATGAAATTGTGTGTGAATGAGGCCTACTTGTATAAGTAGAGGCCACAGAATCAAGTTTCTCCTTTTTTATTAGAAGCATGCATTTCTCAAGGTTTTGGATATTTTTAGGCTCTTCCTTTCCCACAGTACCTTGACTTAACTCAGGAAAGAAGCAGGCAGGAAAGAATAATGTTTTGCTTTAGTTAGCCACTGCATTTACTGTTATATTCAAACATTATTCTTTAAGAAACACAAGTTATGTTTTACCTGCTGCCAAAATCCCTCAATCATTTTTCATTTGGCTCATGTACCTGTAGAATTTGCTACCTTTATATTTTGTTTATTCCAATAAAACTCTTATCGACCACTGAAACTAAGGGCTCTGGTGCTCCCAGAGTTAAATAAGTAGTAATACTGCAGCAGATAGCCCTTGTTTAAAGCCTGCTTCTCGTCCAAAGAGTCACCACTTAAAAACGGTGCCATAAATTCCTCACTCATTTCTTTTTGATTACAGAATAGAAGTAGCCAGTTTGCCAGTTAAACAATGTTTTCTTCTAACTTAAAGTCCAGTAAACTCAACCTGGGATTTGGTAGTTAAACTGTGATCTCTCCGCTTTTCATGTGTTACCAGTGATGGGGATTTCACTTACCAAATGATGGTCTTGATTATGTCTGTTCAACATTATCATATGCAATATCTATCCTCATTGCCTTCATGGGGGCTACACAGGTATTATTTAGGGTCACTACAGCTCTGTGACTGGAACTTTGTTGGCAGTTTTGTTATTATGTCCAAAAAGCAATCAAGTCCACATACCTTTCTCATAGCCAGATTACTTCCACTGGGGTAAACAGGAAGAAGACTGGTAAAAACGAGTTTTTACTTCAAAAATGAAACTGAATTCATAACAGGCAGGCAATAGATCTGCTTGCCAAAGAGATGCCAGTTTGCATACATGCTTTTCAGCATGTTTAGCAGATGTGCAGGGCTATTATCAGAATCTGATCTACAGTGTCAGTTTCTTGCATTGGCAGTTTCAGGAACTTCTTTTCTTTGGGAAATTCAGTAATCTACCTCCTCTGAAATCCTAGATTGAAACCTTGCAGGCAAAATAAATTATGTCAGCGTAGTCTATCAGCAAAACCCCATAGAAACACAGAGATTTTCAATAGCAAAACTTTCAGATGAAATTTTTTTGATTTTTTTTTTAGTTAAAAACTATCAATTTATTAAAACTAGAACTTTCTGTGGGAAATGAATGAATTTCTCAATGAATTTCTCATTTCAAAATACGTGTGGAAATTATAAGTATTGAAACTACAGAACTATTCTCCTTTGGCATTCCAAAATATGAGCTTCAGTTTTGGGGTTCAAAACGACTTTTCACTTCAAGGTGTAAGTTACATCACAGTAAAAAGAAGATTTAAAAAAAGGATGTATATACTTGAAGCCAACTGTTTTAAATTAATGAACTGAAACATTTCTGTTGATCCCATCTGATTTGTTCTTTATTTAAGATTTTGACTTTGACTTTATTTGAAAAAGAAAAAGTGTTTGGAAACTAGACAGTTCTAAGAGGGTAGGAAGACTATTCCCCACACAGCTCTAATTGTTATTTTAGATCAGAGCCTTAGTCCTCCTCACCTCCCATACCAAAAGCTTCAGAAAAAAAGTTTTCTGAAAGCCCTAAAATAGGCAACTGTGGGATAATCTGCCCTCACTGAACTTCTCATCCTATTCTCTAACAGTAGGTTGGTTAAGCCCTGCAGCACGAAGTTTTATATCACTTGTAAAAATGTTGTTAGCATTAACTTATTGTTATTATGATTATTCTTATTATCCATATAAATAATTATAGAGAAATACCCATGAAGTCTGGTATTTTTCAACATTATATAGTCTGTGTTCAGAAAAGATGAAAATACCTAGGCAGTACAAACAAGGCTGAAGTGTGTTGGTTTCTTTCTGTTCCTTTTTTGTACTTTATTATACTTTACCACTACTTAAATATTTATTAGTATGCTAGATGTGTGCAAGAGCAGCATGCTACCCCAAAAGTAACTGTACATTGTGCTGTTCTGTCAAAGCCGGTTATTTTTCTTTATATTACTATCATAACTCAAAACGGTATGAATTTTAACTCCATGGCCACATCCAGATGAGCAGGGGCATGTGGTTTGTGGTGCCACAAACCTCTTTGTGGTGCCGCAAACTACATGTGGTGCTTGTTAAAATGTGTGCCATATGGCAAAATTTGCTACTGGAATTTCCCAGTACCAAGAAAAAGTTGCAAAACGCACGCAAAAAAAAGTGTTCACTAGCACAAATGGAGACCTGGCCCTCCAAAGCAATGCTCTGGCTACCAGCCAGGCATCTGTGTTTTCTGAGTTGTGTTGTTGCTGCTCCAGCATGCCACCAGGACACCAGGTAATACTGGTGGGCCAGCACAAGTGGTGGCCCCAGCCTCCAGCTCTTCATGGCTGAAGAGCTCAGAGGATCTGGGCAAGGGTGGTTTGCCTCAGGTGGGACAATGTGTCCCGCAACAAAGTGCACATGCAGGAGCATGCTTTGTGGAAGAAAGTAGCGGCACAAATTAGTACCACTACTATTTGTGTTGCTGCAAGCACACACCCCTAATCATCTAAACGTGGCCTATGAGATGAAACTTATAACCATATGAGTTTCAAAAGATGCTATTTCAACAGGTCAGTGTAATAAGCTGTAGGGACTTAGTGCAGGACATACTAGATCTTGGAGACTTGGTGTTCCCTGATCCTACCAGGATAACCTGACAGCACTCATGATTCATCCTTGGTTACTGATATTGAACAATCCCTCATTATATTTGTGGATCTGTCTTCTTGTAGCTGCTCTTCTTTTGAAATACTCTAAGAAATCTGGTCTGTGGACAGGCCAGGAAACAGCTGTATATATTGGAGACTACCTGAGTGTGGCAAAGGAAGGCAAACAAAGGAGTGCATTTTGGATACACTTTCTGCATCAAGAAGAAACATTGGGAAGGTACTGATGGGGTACAAGTTGCTAGTGTGAAACGTTTAATCAGTATGAATGCTGCACTGTATTGTACCTGGCACAAGCACACAGCATTGCTGCAGTGCAGCAGTATCTGCATGACAGTCCAAGTAGACTGATTCATCTCTGGGAAGGCTAACTGCCCTGTCACTCAACCATGCTAATTAGCCCATCTGAAGCTTCAGGTGGACATGGACATACTGCTTCCATCAGATTAGCACAACATGCTTTACGGCTGCTAGAAATGTTAGGTTTACCTTGTAGACACCACTGTAGGAAAAAAAGAAATTTCTGTAGATCATCAAACCTGTGGTTAACTTTGTTCGGTGTCCTTCCTAGCATCAGAGCCTTTAAAAGAATGTGCAAGAAAACACACTGTAGGAAGCTGTAAGCCATTATGTTACATGGGAAAGGTTTGCCCTAATCTTCCCTAAGGCAGAAACTGGCTAATACCCTGAAGCAAAAGTCTGTTATAAAACTTTTCTGAAGCTCTTGGTCATCATATTGATCCTGATTAGCGTACCCCTGGAAAAAAAACCGTTATCCAGTGTGATTCTCAAATTATGATCTTTTCAAAGGGACAGGATATTGGAAAAGAATGAGCTGCATCACTATGCTATCTGACACAGCCATATGTATTCTTCATTTTCCTGTTCTGACTTCAGATTTGCCTACACATATGCTTGTACTGAAATAATTAAATGAGTTTTAAATAACTGTATTTTAAAAGCATTCTTATTTTGGTTTAAAAGTGTCCACTATCTGATTTAAACTAAACCCCTATAGGACACACTTAACCTGAAATGAGTGTGGCCATGCCCAGGTACAACTGAATAGGAAATAAAACCAACTCAACTAATTTCATTCCAGGTTGGGTATAAGCAAGCACCTTAATTTTGCAGGGCCTTGCAAGATATCCAGAAGTTTATACAAGAGTATTTTGCTGGAGTCCAAATATGAGCAGAGGTGGTTCATGAGCACAAGGTTAAGGGCCTTTCTCTTTGTAATTTCATAGATTTCATAGACATTAGGGGCTGGAAGGGACCTCATGAGATCATCGAGCCCAGCCATGGGCTGGAAGTCAGCTGGGATCAAGTGACCCCAGCAAGAAATAAATCCAGCTATTTTTTGAAGGAGTCCAGAGTAGGTGCTTGCACCACCTCTGGGGGGAGTTTGTTCCAGACCCTGGACACACACACCATAAATAACATTTTTCTTATGTCTAGTATAAATCGGCCTTCCTGGAGTTTATGGCTGTTAGACCTTGTTATCCCTTGTGGAACTCTGGTGAACAGATGTTTTCCCAGGTCCTGATGTACCCCTCTTATAAAGTTGTAGGCTGCCACCAAGTCCCCCCGAGCCTTCTCTTCTCCAGACTAAAGAGTCCTAAGTTCCTCAGCCTTTCCTCATACGGCCTTCCCTCCAGGCCTTGGACCATATGAGTGGCTCTACTCTGGACTCTCTCAAGCTTCTCCACATCCTTCCTCAAGTGGGGGTCCCAATACTGGACGCAGTACTCCAGCTGCGGTCTCACCAGGGCTGAGTAAAGCAGGAGGATGACTTCCCTGGTTTTGCTTGAGATGAATCAGTGGATGAATGCCAGAGTTTGGTTAGCTTTGCCCACCACTGCATCACATTGGTGGCTCATATTCATCTTGTGGTCAATCAAGACCCCCAAGTCCCTTTCAGTCGTGGTGCTAGCAAGTGTAGCACTGCCGAGCCTGTAAGTATGCTGAAGGTGCTTCCTACTGAGGTCCAGTACCTTGCACTTCTCTGCATTTAAGGCCACCAGGTTTTGGTCAGCCCACCTTGAGAGTGTGTCCAAGTCAGCCTGTATTCCCAGCCTGTCCTGCAGTGTGATGGCCCTCCCCCATAATTTGGTATCATCTGCAAACTTAGCCAGTTCATATCTGACTCCCGAATCTAAATCGTTGATGAAAATATTAAAGAGTACCGGCCTGAGTACCGAGCCCCAAGGGACTCTACTGGTAACCCTGCGCCATATTGATTTTCTCCCTTCAACTAGTACTCTTTGGATTTGACCCCATAGCCAGTTGCCTAGTCATTGGACCGTATGATGATCAAGGCTACAGTTCCCCATCTTAACCATGAGGACATCATGGGGAACTAAGTCAAAGGCCTTCCTGAAGTCCAGATAAATGATGTCCACATCATCTCCCTTGTCCATGGCATATGTTCCCTGGTCATAGGAAGAGATGAGGTTGGTCAGGCAAGACCTGCCAGTCACAAAGCCATGTTGGCTGGCATTCAGAAGCTTGCCCTCTGCTAGTCTGGCATTCATGGATCCCTTGGCAATTTTCTCCAGGATTTTTCTAGGGACAGACATCAGACTGATTGGTCTATAGTTCCCCAGGTCATCCCTCCTCCTTTGGAGATAGAAACCATGTTGGCTCTTTTTCAGTCATCTGGGAACCACCCAAGCACCACGATTTTTCAAATATCCCTGCCAAGGGGGATGCAATGATGTCTGCCAGCTCTTTCAAGGCCCTTGAGTGAATTCTGTCTGGGCCCATGGACTTGTGAATGTCCAGTTTCTCAAGGTGTTCCCTCACCTGATCCACATCGATTTTGGGCCCATCACCTAATCCCAAATTAGTTTGCGCCATTCCTGGTAGTGTGGTCCTCATGGGAGGGTGAAAAACCGATGCAAAAAAGTCATTTAGAAGATTGTCCCTTTCTTGGGCATCTGATGTCAGTTGCCCTGTTGGATCTCTCAGGAGCCCAGTACTATCCTTGTTCTTTTTCCTACTTCCCAAATATCTAAAGAAGGACTTTTTGTTGTCCTTGATCCCCGTAGCTAGCCTAAGTTCGGTTTGTACCGTGGTTAGACTTTTAAGTAATTTTAAGTAAGACTTACCAATAAAGAACTTTGCCTTTAGCCTACCCCATTTTAATTTATAGTGACACATTGCATCACATTCCCTTACTGCCATCTGCCCAAGGCTGAGCTGACTATGCTGTTTGCTTTTTATTATTTAGGTATATTGGGAAGGAGTATAAAGAAGAAAAAGGACTGCTTCATCATTTCAATGATGTGGAACGACAAATGACTGCTCAGTACTACGTGACAGAATTCAACAAAAGGCTGTACGAGCAAAAGATCCCAACACAAATCTTCTACATTCCTTCTTCAGTGCTTCTGGTAGGAACCCCTACCCTGAGGGCTACAGACAAGTCAGCTGAAGCAGGGATCATAAAAAAGCCAGCAGGAAATGACCAATGTTTCTTCTGCAATCTGCAGAACAATGGGGAGAGTTAGAGCTGGGGTGTCAAAGGTATGGTTGCAGGCTGGATCCGGTCCACAGTGCTGCCCATGAAGTGGACCCACATGCTGCCTGTGGTGCACACTGGATCAGCCCAGCGCTGCATGTAACATGGACTGGGACGGATATACATTGCATGTGGTATGCAGGGCTGCTCTGGGATATGTACTGCACACAGCGCCCACACTGGACCAGGCTATATGCTGCACATGGCACCCAGGCCAGGCTGAGCCAAGTGCACACAGCACATAGTGCCTGCACCAGGGCATCCCTGCATGCTGCATCTAGCATACAGGGCTGGTTTATAAGCCCAGTCTGGCTTGTGGACCAGCCCTGCACCATTTTTCTGATCTATAGGCTGGCCCTGCACCAGTCACCCAACCCACAGGGCCAGAGGAGTTTGACACCCTGGAGTCAGAGTATAAAACAGAATTCAACAAAAGAAAAGAGGTCTCTGCATGCCAAACAATGTAACACTTGTAAATATATCATCATTCCAAACAACAGCACTAAGCCACTTGTGTCGAATACACTAAAAGAGAAATTATATTACATCAAGGGTGTCAAACTCACTGGGGCCCCCAGGTTGGGTCTGGACTGCGAGAAGCTTCATGAGCAGAATCTGTACCCAGCAGGAGCAAAGGGGTAAGCATAAGCGGCAACACAGGAATTATTGCAGCTGTCTCTCAACCTCACCTGTCACCAATATGCATCTCCAGAGAAGCTCCATAGCTGGAAATTTGTCAGTGGGTCCACTTCCACTTGCCCTGCCCACTCTAGGAGCACCATGACCCAGGTGAAATGGCTATGGGCCATATCTTTGACACCCCTGCATTTCATGTTTTCGTAGATTCATAGATTCATAGCTTGCAGTCGGAAGGGACCACAAAGGATCATCGTGTCCGACCCCCTGCCCCTGGCAGGAAAGAGGACCGAGGTCAGATGACCCCAGCCAGGTGACTATCAAGCCTCCTCTTGAAAACCTCAAAGTTAGGTGATAGTACCACCTCTCTTGGAAGCCCATTCCAGATTCTGTCCACCCTTACTGTAAAAAACTTCTTCCTAATGTCTAACCTGAATCTACTCTCCACTAGTTTGCACCCATTATTCCTAGTTACTCCCTGGGGCGCTCTGGTAAATAGCACATCTCCAATACCCTGTTGTCCTCCCTTGATAAACTTACAAGGTCTCCTCTCAGCCATCTCTTGTGAAGGCTGAAGAGATCTAGATCCCGCAACCTCCCCTCATTGGGTCTTTCACAGAGGCCACTAATCATGCAAGTGGCCCTCCTCTGGTACCCTTTCCAGATTCTCTGTGTCTTGAAGTGCAGCGCCCAAAACTGGACACAGTACTCCAATTGCAGCCTGACCAATGCCACATAGAGAGGGAGCATCACCTCCCTCAATCTGTCAGTCAAAAAAATAATCCTGGACATGGGGGTTTGTTTGATCATTTAGAAGAGGGAAAATGTCTAAGCCTAGATGCACGTTTTCAAGGAAGGGCAAAATGGGCAGGCCTGGCAAAAGCATGTCTCCTGTGTTTTATGTGCCAAACTTCAGGTCTGCTAGGCAGAGAATCACTTAGCCAGCTGGTTTAGGTGTTGCTCAACTTGATTAGGCCTTAGCAAGTTTGTACACAGAAGCATGAGAGTTGCATGAGCTAGCAGGTACACATCTGATTGTAGCAGTTACATCACCAAGGCCTTTCTTGAAAACTTGGCCTATATATAGTCAAGTCAAGTCAGTCCTGAGGCCACACCAACTGCTAAGGCATCTTTGATGTAACAATAACTTTCCTCCATCAGTCTTCTGCAATCCTTGTACAATCAGTCAGTTCTAATCCCGTCCAGTCTTTGATGTTGGTGTTCCAGCTTGTCCTAGGTCTTCTTCCTCTTCTTTGTCTACCCACAGCACCCTGCAGGATAGTGAGGGTAAGGGTGCCAGGCCTTCTTGTTACATATCCAAACCACTGTATCTTTCTTCTTCTTATAATGTTGATGTAGGGGTTCATATTTGCTGACTTCTTGTCTGATTTGATCTTTCACCGATTCATTTGTTCAGTGGCATATATATAACAGGCCCAGAATCAAAGTCAAATCCTGCTCACTTATTATTCTTGCATTGATTCAGGTGGAATTAGGCAGATAAAAAAGTCGGGGTTTGGGAAGTAAGTCTTTAGATTGTCGTTTCCTTGGGGCAAGAACCTGCCTTTTTTAAAATTTGGTCAATAAAGCACAATAGAACAATGAATAAGTAATGAAGGCACAGGAAATAATCTTGGAATAATATGGGCCAGCCTGAGATTTGTACTAATCTGCCTTGCTTTGTACTATTCTGCATTACTTTTTAATTGAACCCCAGAACTTATTATAATGGAGGTCAGTGGAGTGCAACTTCCCAGCCTTACCCCCAAAACATATAATGCACTAAGATGGGAGGATTTCAGCAAAGGTAACTAAATAGCCTGGAATAATCTCTATTTGGCAACTATCTATCCCAGTACAGAAGGACTAGAGCACTGCCCAGTCCATGTAAAGGTACAGTTTTGTACGTCCAGGTCATACATTTAACTGAGTATCTACTTGACCTCTGTATTTCAAATACAGATTGTCAAGTAAACTATTCTGTGAAGAGTCAGCATCCTATTTTTCTGTCACTACATGGTAGAGAGTGGAAGTTAATGCTTCAGTGCTAATGTATACCTTAAAAGAAACGTGTACATGACCTCAGAAAAAAATAGCTTGACTGTTTTTGCTAAGTCTGCTGCCATAGATGCTGCTTTACACCAGAGCACTGGCAAGCAAAACTTACTGCAATTTTAGCACCAACATACTGAAGCCCATAAGTATGTAGAAAGTGCTACATCAGCCAGTCATGGACAGTGTAAAAGAGGGAGAGTTGCCAGTTGCTGACCTGCCATTCTTCCAGTTCTTTCACCCACTCTTTACACTGATTTTCATAAAGTGTGTTTCCAATTTGCATTGCAAGCAAGGTGCTTAGAGAACTGGTTGCTATCCAGTCCCATCAGTGTGAATTGTCATTTCCAGAGCTGGCACTGTCTTATCTATTGTTAGATACGAGCTCCACTTCTAGATGTGCTATGATGAGGAAACAACAAACTGTGGCAGAGTATGGATGTTCTTGACATGAATTTTCCTTTAGGAGGAAAAGAAATAGTGAACATAAAAACTGAGATTTTTGAGTTTTGTGACATGTCCTCATTTTCATTTCTAGTGGGATCATTGTAACACTTATGTTCTGGTTTCTTTCAGATATTAGAAGACAGGTGCATAAAAGGTTGTGTGAGCGTGGAGCCCTACATCCTGGGAGAGTTTGTGAAGCTATCTAATAACACAAAAGTAGTAAAGGCAGAATACAAAGCCACAGAGTATGGGTTAGCCTATGGACACTTTTCCTATGAATTTTCCAATGCCGCAGATGTGGTTGTTGACCTACAAGGTTTGTATTATGGCTGATACTATTTTTGTATCTCTTCCCCATCCCCTCCCCTCAAGTGTAACACTCTATAAACAGAGCAAACCATTTAAAATGCTACAAAAGCATGAGAGGTATATAGAGATGATTGAAATCTAAGCAATGTAAGAAAACATCAGGGTCTTTATTTTTTGACATGTGCTTTACTGCTAACATGGCATTCTTACTCTCTTGTTGAGAAGAGACAAACTGGAACAAATCCACCCTAGCATAACCTTCCATGCACCAGGTAAAGCCTTTTCACCCTTGTAATGCTAGGCTCCTGCCCACATATATAAAACTATATATGAGGAGCTCTCCTGTAAAGGGGATACTCAGATGATGAAGAACCACTGTAGCAGCACCTCTGATGTCACCCTCCCTCTCTTCATATAACTAGCAGGTCCCATGATGGCTCTCTGTGGTTTGAATTGAGAATCTGGCCTTCTACTTTTTATGTTCACTCATATAGTTTTTAGACAAACCCTTATTCTTTGCTTTTTTCCTTGTCAGAGCTTAGTGAAGTAAAATAGAAATTTGAGACTGTTGGGACCTACTGGTCTGCTTGTGTCTTTCCATGAAAACTGATAGCAATAGTTAGGGCCATATTTTGCTTTTGCTTACACAGATTTAAAATTGACAGCAACTCATCCGGTATCAGTAGCATTCTCCCTGTGTCAGACTGGCAGAAGGATGCTCAGTCACCCGGCCTTAGTTACAGAAAACAATAAAGCAATGGGATGATTGTGCTTAAACTGTTTCCTTCACTCTGCAGGTTGGGTGACAGGTAATGGAAAAGGCCTCATCTACCTCACAGATCCCCAGATTCATTCGCTTCATGGGAAAGATGCTTCACATTCCACCAACTTTGGGGAAAAAGGCATTTATTATTTCTTCAACAATCAGCATGTGGAATGCAATGAAATCTGCCACCGTCTTTCTTTAACAAGGCCATCAATAGCAAAACCTACTTAGTCACGTGCAAAGGTAGCATAGCCAGTAATGGCAACTATAGCGTTTGATCCTGTACACATTTTTGTAGAAAGCTCTCTCTACATGTGTTAACAGACTGTAGCAGGCTTGGACCAAAAGAGGGCTTGAGCCTGCCCATCGTGGTGGGCTGACCCTGCCTCCTGCAGTTCCCTAGGGTTTTCTCCCTCTAATTCTCCTGCCATGCCTTGATGAAATCTGGATCTCTTGAGAGGTTGCCTGTAAATCTGAAGGGGAGGGGCAATAATCTGGTGTTACTAAACTAACTAGATTCTGCAGTTAGTTCATCTAGCCAACTCTGTCTCTCTCCATTTCTTTCTCCTCCTAATTTGCCTCTTGTGGATTCTGTACCTCAGCAGCCTATACAGTGGCTTGTGGGCCTTAATTGTGACCTCCCCCCTCCCCCCTAGCAAAACCCATGCCTCATGAGAGTCGATCTCAATTTTGTGGGGCCTCCCAGCCAAGTCAGTAAGTTCCACCCCTTGGGCTCTCATCCCTTTGTCCAGGCGTAAGCCTTTTTGGCCTTGGCTCCCTTTTCTCTAGCAAAGGCTCTTGGCTCTGGCCCATTGTTTTGGGCCTCAGCCCAGAGTATACCCTTGCCCTATGCAAGGCTCAAAATGCAAAATGCCTTGCAGGCACTATGCTGTGTGGCCTCCAAACTACCCCTTAACGGACACTCCCAAGCCACCAGTCAATAACACCCAAAACTCAACTGAAGTCTTTGATTCACCTGAGTACACAAAAAAAAGAAAAAGAAAAGAGGGAGAAAAATATGTATATACAAATACACACGCATGTGTGTGTGTGTGTGTGTGTGTGTGTGTGTGTGTGTGTGTGTGTGTGTGTGTGTGTGCATAAAAATATTATGTCTCAGGCCAAATCAGTTCTGTATTCTATTGACTGAGCAGAGCTCAATCATTCAAGTCTGTGTGGCACTACCACTGGCAAATATCCTACCTCCTAGGCTTCAGATACTCCCAGATCCATGGTAGGCATCCTAATGTGCAAGCCCCAAGCCAGGAGGCCTTGGAGTTCAGATGCCCCCTAGTCTTGCTTGCTTCTAACCAAAAGGGCAAAGGAGCTCTCTAGAGGAAATGCCCGAGGGGAGTCCCCCATCACCATAAATTGTATAGCCAAGATCCTCACATTAGAGGCATTATAGACTCTCTCAGGGGTCAACCTGCCCACAGTGCAAGGGACAGGCCTTCACCCTCAACTACACTGAGTCATTCAAGGCCAAGAAGAAGGGTATCTCCCCTGCCAGGTCAGTAAAACCACCTGGGCCAAAACCATCATCATGGTATCCCCACTGGGTAAACTAAAATAGCCTATAAACATACCCCTTAGCCCACCAGTGTACTCAGCAGCCAGAAGAGGGTGAGAGTGGCCTACTAACAGTCCCTCCTTCTTCTGGAAGCCTATTTCCCTCTCCTTGGCATGGACTTATCCACTTCACCAGGGACAACTACTTCTCTCTGACATCCAGGGCCTCACTGAGGTCATTTACATGTTACTTCCCCTCTTTTTCCCCTAGGGAAGCTTTTTGTGCTGGCCCAGCCCTTCCCCTATTGGGCTCTATGCTGCTGCTGACACACAGGTGTTGTTCCTCTTTCATTCAGCTGTTTCTCTGGCCTTCCACCAGTTACTAAAGGCAAGTCCACAGCTTTGGAGCTGTCCCTACTGGCTCCACATTTTTCCCATCAGCTGGAAGTACTCAGCTCCCACTGAGTTTGGATACCCTTTCAGGGCAGCCTATCATCAGCCCACTGATCTCCCCTATTGGCAGGAGTCCTCCTGCTGTGGTTCCCCACCCCCTTCGTATTATGGGAATTTTCCTAGGCTCAGCCCCTTTCCCTTTTACTAAGTTCACCTTATCCAAGTGCCATCTTGTTCTGGCCACAGAAGTGCTGCCCTTAAAGGGGCCTCATGGTCTTCTCAGTCCATCTTCTCAGTCCATCTTGGCTACAGGAGTGGCCAAGATGCCCCCTGGTGGTCATGTGGCTCCTAGATCGGACTTTAATATTGCCCATCCCCAATTGCTCACCCACCGTGTCTTGTTTTTATTGAAAGGTGGGTAAGGGAGGCCGCCCACAGGCCTTAGATTGAGCCTTAATCAGGTCTATTCCCACAGCAAATCTCTCCTGGGACCCACTAGTCTAAATCCCAGCCTTTTAACTGATAGGTCATTCTCAGCCTGGCTATGCCCCTGCAGGGTACCTGTATAGCCTTAAGGGCAAATTTTGTGGCTCTGTTCCTCCTCTACACCACATCCCAAGCCTCACAGGTGTTACCCTAAAGATGTTACCTTCACACACTTGGCCCTCAGACTTCTGGCCCCTCACTCAGCCTTTCCTTTGAGCTTCCAGGCCCCCTGGTTCCATGTTTGACCCCCTTTTGGGCTCCCGGACCCTTGGCCCCAAGCACAACACTTCTCTTTGGGCTCCAGACCCCTAGTCCTATGTGCAGCCCCTCTCTCTGGGCTCCCAGTGTGGCTCACAGCCCCGTATACCCCAGTGCCTTGCTACACTCCCTTCCTTAGAAACAGGACGTATGTCCCCTGTTACACAGATCCATGCAAGACTCTTCATGTGAGTAAAGTCACTTCTACATCTAAAGTGTCTGAAAGATCTGTTCCAAGTTGGCAATCCCATGTTACCACTTTGTGGGCCAGCTGAATACAGCTTGTTACATATATCTGTTGGAATTAATAAAATTGTGTAACAGTATATTCAAATAGCACAAAGGGGCCACATCTACATGTGCACTTTATTAGTAGACTAATTAGATGAGGAGTAAAACTTCACTGTCTCCACATGTGATGCTATTAAGCTGCAGTAACTAATTAATCCTGCCATAACTGGATAGTGGACCAGCCACCTAGCCACACAGCTCCACATTTTCAGCACTCTCATCCCCCAGCCAGGCCCTCTGTCACCCTCCACTGATACCCAGAGCCCAGGGCAGAGCATAGCAGGAGCAGCCCTGGGATAAACTGCTCTACACCAGCTCAAATTGCTCCTGTCCGAGGCGCACATGTAGACGCTGCACCCGGGACTAGTTTACTCTGGTTCAAACTGCTCTGGAGTTTACTACTTCACATTAATTGCACATGTAAATGCACCCAGCATGGCCAAATGTGTGTTCAGAATCAGCTATTTTATTTTAGCTATTTGCGTTTAACTCTATTAATGATTTTTCACCAACTGGTGTAAATGTCTCAGGTGTCTAGATATAAGAAGCACTAAAGATGTAACTTCTTCTCTGTGTATACTTTCTTATGGAAGATTTTTAAAAGTGTTTTAAAATACTCATTAATCTTGACTAATTGTCATGGAGCAAATCCTACAGCCTTTGTACAGGCTAAAAACTACCAAAAGAAGCCAGAGTAAGGACTGCTGGGATTGGGGTTTTTCCAGAGTAAGGACTGCTGGGATTGGTCTGAGCTTGTTAATATGCCCATGGGAGACTAAAAATACCTACCATCAGGAGTGCTCCAAATTTAGGGGCTGTCTTGTAACCCCTATTAAGATAAGCAGCCCCTTTGAATGAGGGGAGTGACTTGTTTGAGTTACAGGTTTACAGGGGCAGGCTCTTTTCCAGTACACTCAGGTATACACTAAGTGATACTAAAATAGTATAGGTTTCCCTTGCTTTATGCTGTACATGTGGTTCTGGAAAATGGCACATAACTCAAATTCACATAAAGGGAACCCACTTTACAATGTAACAAATAGGGATATGTTCCAAGACCTTGCCTGTACTGACCGCAGACACATTTCTACCACTTACAAACGTGGCATTGCACTACTCCCGGGGCAGCTGCAGCTCCAAAAACATGGGCACCAGCTGCCCTGAGCAGTGGCTGTAGGTGCTGCTGCCGGGTGGCTTCATGGCTCCCAGCTCCCAGGGTGCCATGCTGACAGGGCCAGACTGGGCCAGGTTGCAGAGGCAAGTGTTGTGGCCTGGCCTGGGCACCACCACCTGGCTCAGCCCCTTCAAATAAGTTTTTCTTTCTCCACTCCCAGAATGCACCACAAAAAGCAGCTGACTGCAGGCTTCCACTACACCGATCGTATAAGAGTGAATTTACCTCGCATATAATTAATTTGTGGTATAAAAAGGTCATCACATAAGAGTGAATTCATACATACAGAACCCACATAAAGTGAGGGAAACCTGTATAACTAAAAGAGCTGTTTTGGGATTCCAATTAGGTGGAAGAGCATCCCCTGCTATTCTCAACACCCAGAGATTTATTCTGATCTTTCTTCATTAACACCCAGAGATTTATTCTAATCTTTCTTCATTATATGGTCAAACTGTTTCCTGGAGCCAGTGGGCAGAAGACAGAAACTTTGTTTAACTATCCACTCAGGCACTGGGGGGAGAGGGGTTGTGATATCCTGTTGGCAGCAAGCAAAACATTTTGAAGATATTGTGCCTCACAGGTATAGCTCATGTCGTAGTGAGTGTCTACACAAGATGCTTTATTGCACAGCAGACAAATTTGCTGCACAGTAAAGCATCAGCGTCTATTCCTGCTCAGCAAGTAGGGTACAATAGACTAATTTACTGTACTGCCAGATAGGCCTGTCAGATACAAGTAGTATCCAGTAGTGCAGTAAATTACTGTGCTTAAACACATGTGTAGACAGTGCTGTTAGTTTACCTTGGCTCAAACTGAGCTGGAGTATATTCAGTCGCATTAATTGTATGTATAGATGTGCCCAGTATCTCCAAGGGGTTGAGCTTGATGTCTAATGTGCCATTAGAGCCCAATGTGCTCCTCCGGCACAGCTTCTCCTTTCTCCCTTAACATTATCGTATTGCTGATAGCTTGAGAACCACCTCATCTGTAATCCTTGTCATGGGAAAGGCATTCCCGTGTCTCTCTACTCTGTTCCCATCTATTTCCAAATCCACTCTGAGATAAGATCTTTGCTTATAGATCCTGCTTTCCCTTTCCTTTAATTTTTCAAAATATCTTTATATTTAAC